TAATATGTCATTTACATACAAGTTGAAAAGCCTTTACGGCCGTGAGAGGGCTCAATCCCATCGCACGCTATTGGTCTGGTTTCTATACCAGAACTTGAGAATATTAATAAGCTCGCCTAAAATTATTGAGACAACAATAAAATAAACATTTTATTTAGTGCAACCCTAATACTTGTTTTGTAGTTGTCAACTTGTCATCCTTGATTCATTTCTTTTCAGAGAAACGTGTGTAAAGAGGAAAAAATATTATTGTGCTATTACGGAAAATAACTGTCAAAACATTTCTGTATGAGAAGAGAAGAGAATTAATAAAACAAACAATTACTGAATAACATATAAGTCTTTAATTTCCACTGTAACATAAATATGCAACAGAAATGAATACAGTTAAAATTATTAAGTTCTTCGTAATGAAACTTTGCAATTTTCTGCATTTCGCAAAGTAACAGCAAGCTTTATGTTAACACTCTAAATGCTTATCGACCCCACATACCTCTAGATGTATAAGTAGTTTATTATTATGGTTTAAGCGATAAAAACTTAATAATTATTAATTAGTAACACTGTAGAAGTATCTACGTATTTTTGTTGTAAACTTAAATATTGGCGCCGAGTTATCGCTCGCCACACTACCGCACACATTATCCTGTAGTCCCGCATCTTATCGTCGTTTGTTTGGTTTATTGCTTTGTTTATGTGCCGCCGTACCATGGCTTCGTAGGCACGAGGGGGGAGGGTTTCTTCTGTTACACAGATCGCAAGCAATGTTGATGATGCCCACGCGTTTATTAAAGTCATATGAGATTTCAATAAACACTTTAGTTGTTCTCTATAATCGTTATAAAAGATATATCTGTGTAGTGTAGGCTTCGACCTCCTAAACCTCGCGGCAACGTAGTAGTGAAGCGACAACTTTATCATCGCAGCATCCGTGCGCTCCGATCAGCAAGCCAACCAGGTCATCGTCACCTTTAGAGATAAGTATGATATGATGTACGTCAAAGAACAATGGCCAATTCATAATTGACTTTAATTGGAGCGTCTTAAAATGTTATTCATAGGAAACATATTCTATAATTGTATATTTTATAATAATAGGTCTTTACCTATGAAATTGCCGTTTTGTATGCAATAAGTGAAAGTACTTATTTTTTCAAACTTTTTTATTTCTGTTATTCGAAGTAATCACCCATGCAATCGTCGCATATTTGCCAACGCATTGGCAGTTTATTGTTGCCCTTCTTGTAAAAATCAGCTGGACGGGAGGCAACAAACTCTTCAAAGGCATTTTGTACTGCCTCTCGGGAATTGAATTTTTTACCCACTAAAAAGTTGTCTAAATTTTGGAAAAAGTAATAGTCGGTAGGTGCAAGGTCTGGTGGTCACATTTGCAACCAGCTTTGGTCAATCGGTCGTCCCCACTGCTCCTTCACGACAACGCGCGACCCCATACTGCGCAACAGACAGTCTCCAAGCTGCAAGAGCTGGGGTTGGAAGCTCTCCCTCATCCGCCATACTCACCAGACCTGGCACCTACCGACAATTTTTTTTTTTATTATTCAAGAGGCGGGTTTACATGTAAAATACATGCATATTATAGTGGAGGAAATCCAAGAGTTTCAAACATCTGTATTGTGAAGTCGTAAAAAGCATGTTTTTATGCGCTTACATTGCAAACGCTGACTAAACCTCACGAGATACATTCAAATAATGTACTACGGAATTGTATATCCTAAAAAGATCTACAAAAAAGTCCGCGATGGTATATGTTTACGAAGCTTCTTTGAAATAAATGTGTTAGGTATGTAAGTTGTTCATTGAATGTAGATTTAAATTGATATCTACTAAGCACTAAAAAGTAGAAAATAATTTTCTAAGCGTGACAAGCGTGGGGTGATTTTTAAGATATTTTATAATATAATAACCTTATTTTTACCAATATCTATCAATAAAATATTCTTACAATGAGATCCAGTATCCCACGCATTTCTACGATAAAATGATTTTTCTGAATTTTTCTTGAAGGAACAAGTATTTACTTGTAGCACGCTTCTAAGTACGTAGCAAAAGACGCTACCGTATTTTAAGGTATGGAAAAAGCCGTTAATCCTGAAGGTCCTGATCAGGATAATCAGTCAAATTTATCAAATTATTGTATTGTCACCGGTCCTTGAAAAGTGTGTGAAGTTTCAAGTTAAATTGACGTTTTGAATTGGGTTAAAATCATGTTCGAAGATTCCGTTACAAATGTACATACCAAGCAAATAAAAGCGTGTTAAAAAAGCAAAGGTTTTTTGACTATGAAAACTCTTGACAGACGTTTACTGTAATAATGCTTTATTATTGGTGACCGACCGAATTTTCTAAATCTAAAAATCTAGTTTCAGTTTTGGCCAAAATTGGCCGAAACTTTCGGCCTTTCGACGCAAAGTGTTGTGCGTCGAACGGGTTACTTCGCGAGTATGTAGTGGCCATCGGCTCTGGCTCAGTTCGCCGCCGTCCAGTGTGATCCTTTTTTTTATAGGGTTTGGGGGCAAGCGAGCAGACAGGTCGAATGATGGTAAGAGACTACCACCACCCATGGACACCTGCAACAAGAGTCACCAGTGCATGGAGGCATCCATTTCATTCCCTCCCCCCAGAATCGAGGCAAACCCTCCCCGGGTTTGGTAAACTCTCTCACTCGGTGACAAGCAACGAAAGAACTGCTCAACATAGGTTTTCTTTGGGACCGTGGAATCACTCCGGTCGAGCCTGGTCTATATGTGCCGAGGTATGGCTCTCCCACGACTAACTCGTCATGTTAGCTGTGTTTTACGCATAAATAATAAAGCTTCATATCTGTACTGTTGACCGCTGAGTAGTTCTATCGACTGGAGCCAACCTTAGGAACAGCTATTTCCTCATGACGTGAATTTTCGAAAAACATACTATAACTGAATGCGTATATAAAAATTTCGTGGCTATAATTAACTATTAGGTAGTCATTAAGGGTTTGGAATCAATCCTGGGCATTAATCAGGGAGGAGGATCAAGGACTGGTTGGCTGGCTTTAAAAAACCCTGAAAATGACGGCATCTTCAGGGTTTTTCATAAAACGAATTCCTTTAACTTTATCTTTTATTTATGGAAATCAATAAAAGTTACAAGATGCCAGAAAGGGACTATAAAGAGGATGACTCACTAGCTCCACAACTTCGATAGTCCGTCTGGCGGAATGAGCTTGAGCGTTGTCGTTGTGGAAGAGGAACCTGCTTCATGAACGCTGCCGTCTAACTGTCCCAGGACAACTGGAAGACATTGACTGACATACCAACGTGCAGAAACGTGATAAAATGATATTTATGTCTGCAAGTAAATCTTTACAGCTAGTAGTCCTTGTACAATGTTACAGAGAACTATGTGAGTGCAGTATAGGGTCTGGGCTGGCCTTTTGAAGAAAATACCATAGTTTGGAGTCGGCCCGGCCATACATACGGCATACGGGCCCCAGTCATCGTGTAGCCTAACCAATCAAATTTGTCATCTAAATAATCTGTAACCGTGTAGTAAGCATTTTCACACAGTTTTTGTTTTACTAAGGACAAATTTGATGATACTTAATTCATGAAATTTGCTTTGAATTTTTGCAGCATCGCACCCCCTGAAATCGAAAAGACTTGCTTACTTTTTGTAGTCTAGTCGTTGGCTACACGAGTTTATCTTTATTTCTAGTGTTTATATTATGAATATCGCAAAACTTTGTGAATAAGTTAATATTTTTCTTAACATACACAAAATTTTCATATATATATTGAGATGCGACTGTCATAATACCAATTTCTTTAAACTTATCCCTCAGTGACTGCCTATAACGGATATTATAAATTGCGCGATTAGCTCTTTGCAACACAAAGATACGTTAAATGTCAGCAGCATTTCCCCATAACAAAATACAATATAACATTACACTATGAAAATAGCTAATAGCTGTTTCTACGTAGGTTACCTGACGAATTTTATAAACGGCGTAGGAGAGCTGAGTCTATTCGACAATCCATCAATGTGTGGGCCCCTCTGGAATGTAGAGTCTAGAGTTATACCCAAGAACTTAGTGGTGTCCACAAGGTCCCACTCCTTTCCATTTATCAGAACACTGGTTTTAACCTGCTTAAAAAATCTAATACATTTAGTTATTTTCTCGTTTTAACGTAAGTTATTAACATTGAACCAGTTCACGACCTTGGTGAGAGTGTTATTCACATCGTCAGTAACTGACTGCTGTCGTTTTAGTTTAAATAAAAGTAAATTGTCCTCCGCAAATAGCACTCAGTAATGATTATCTTTTATCAGATTAGGTAGGTCATTTATATAACCGAGCAACAAAAATGGGCCGAGAATTGAGCCCTGCGGAACCCCCACAGTGACCAGAGACTCGAGGGACCTCTGTCCATTAGATTCCACTCTTTGGATCCTATTAAACAAATAATAGATCCAAAGCAGTATTCCTTATTCCATCGTGATGCAATTTCCTGATCAATTTTTCATGAAAAAGCAATCGAATGCCTTAGACAAATCACAAAACACACCCAGCGCATTCCGTTTATCCTCCCAGGCACTAAATATACCTTCCAGCGTTACTCTGATAAATATAAACTATCGTAGGGCCGGCAGGACCGGAGTGATATCACGACCTCAAAGAAAACCAGTATTAAGTCATTATACCGTTACCGAAGGAGAGTACCCGTCTGCCCTACCTTTCCCTAATTCTTGGAGGGGAGATACTAATAGGGCGTCAAGGTGCTCGTGTCTCTTGCTGCTTCACAAAAATCTTGTTTGCTCGTTTGGAATTCATAAAAAAGGATGGTTAATAGAAAAAATATGTACATGCGTATAATATTTATTAAGTACATAAAAACGTTAATTTAATAAATAATACATAATAAAAATAGATTTACATGCCTATTCAGTTCACAGGCGAATAGACGATTCACTTAGAAGTGTAGAGCGGCGCGGGTCGATCACGCATCCTCGCTCGCGTCGCGGGCCTCCTGGGGGGGGCGAGCCTTGCGCGGCCCGGGGGGTGGGGGGAGGGGGAGGGGGCGCCACGCCGCGATGTAGACCAGCGTGCACATCAGCGACCCGCTCAACGGAGACACCCAGTATATCTGAATATTAACACGGATAACGGTTACCATCTAGATACTACGAGTACGCTACGACCAGTGTAGTCTACGAAGTGAGGATTTCAATAGCGACGCATCGTGACAAAGTTTTCTGTGCGTAAGTCCATATGAAACGAACGAACGGCAATATTTGTATCGTTAAGGAGAATCATTGAAAATAAGGGCCGTTCCACTAGTCCCTACCAGCTATCCCTCCTGGTGGGGTCAAGTGGATTTTTTTTCCATTCTTCCCTACCACACTATCACTGTTGTTGAGCATATTTTTTTATATGTATTTAATTTATTGATCATATCTTGTAGGTCTGATTTTATTCTTGCATAGCAAGTGATTTATTTTGTTCAATCATATTAGTTAAGCTGTCACTGTTATCGTGTAGACTGTCCGGTATACTTAGTATTGTCGATTCAAATATCGTTTTATCATTTGTAATGTTTTCTAAATCAGAAAATGAGCTTGTTCTAACTGGTCTACGATACGTGATATTATTTTTGTCGATATTATTTTTGTAAAAAGCTACGAATATATCCCTTTTAAATATTTACAAAAAGCACATTTAGGGCCGGGATCGATCTTGAAGACTATCAGTCGTTTCTGAATAGGATGCCGGTTTGCAGTACACAGCTACGGTTGATTACCATTCATTAGTGAATAAGTTTGTCTTATATTACAAATGTAGTATTCAAATTAAATTAAACAGTTGGGAATGACTCATTAGATTGGATTTTTTTTCCACCAACTTGCACTGTCACTTTGTTTTTGTGTAAGAGTTTTACACTTGTTTTTAGTATGTAAGTTTATTAAATTAGATTATGTTTTACTCATAGTTCCATTATTCACCATGTTCATAGTATTAAATATTGTCATTTACAGTTTATACACTTTTGCAAGTTGTTGGTCCACTGATTTATTTATTGGTATACTTTTCGTTAAAGTTCGTATTTTTACAAGGAAGATAACATGTACACATACAATTTAAACTCTAATTCACTGATTTTTTGAAAAGATTAATGCTTTTGCGGTCGCAAATATTTTTAAAAGCACAGAAAATACGGAACAATCTTAACTTATCCTTTACTAGATGGTGGCGCCATCTATAATATAAAATAAACAATAAGCGATCCATACATTTTAATTTGCTACAACTATTAAGTAAATTGCATAAATATGCAAATGGTGTTCTCAAAGGTCGTGTTTCAAGAGGAAAGGGAACGAAAATATATAATCCGGGAGACAGTCATGCAAGATATATAAATGCAGCTAGTGACTGGCAATGCTTACATTATGCTTGGAGAAGTTACGCTAAATTATTATTTCATCATAAGAATGATTGATTAATTAAGATAATAATATTCGCAAATTATAATAAATATAATCTTTCTTCAACAATTATATTTTTCATTAGCATGATTTTATTCTCGACTGTACTTATGAACTAAATTGGTTTGATAGGGAAGAGTGGAGAAACAGTCCACTTGTCCCCACCAGGAGGGACAGCTGGTAGGGACTAGTGGACCAGCACGTGTGTAGAAGGCGAGTCGTACCCAGTGTCGGTCCCAGGCGCCGCTCCAGAGCGCGGGGCCGAAGCTGCGCGCCGGGTTCATGCTGGCGCCCGTCAGCTCGCCCTGGAACCGACATTCATCGGATAGTCATCAATCGGATTCGTGAGTGCGTGCATGCGTGTGTGATATGTTTTTCCGTTTATCGTGGTCCAATTTAACTAGAAATTGATGAACGATTTTTCCTCTGCCAGAACGATGTATCCTTCAGTCGTCCGAGCGGAGTTATTGTTTGATTGAAATGCGATATTCATTAAGTTATAATTTTAAAGACTATCAATTATTTGGAACGTCTCGTTTGAAACTTTTTGAAATTATTTGAAACTGTCGCCAGAAGTTGATGATCAGAGACGTTTCAAAATCATTATTTTAAAACATCTTTGATCATCAACTTTTAATGACAATTCAATCAGCTAATTCAATTTACTTTATTCAATCACTTAGTCTTGAAACGTTGTAACACTAGCCAGATTTGTTCGTGATATCATTGAGTAGTTTTGACATTCCGTTTTCGAGATTCAACTTTTGTCGTTGACTGTACGTGCTCTATTAACAAAAGCTTTCAAATGAATTTAAATCTGCGGAGTATTGGGTATATAAGCTATGTAGTGGTAAGAGTAGAGTGGAGTGATGCGACAAACCATAGACATACCACACTGGGACTCGCAAAAAATCATTCACACACGCACGCAAACGCGACTCAAGATTGTGAACTGTATGAAACGTAGTCTAGCGTTGCAGTTATCTGTTGAAATGTGTATAGTGTACGGTCGCGGTCATAAGTCCAGTCCCATTCCTACAAAGTTATAGCATTATTACAAGTCGGTTGTACGACCATCTGTTATTAACGTATATGACTATATAGTCATAAGCATGAATCTTCGGTGAAATCTGCGGTGCGGTGGAAGCTGATACAAATATAGAATAATAATAACATTTTACCACATTCACGCAACCATATTCTAGTCCCAAACTAAGCAAAACTTGTACTATGGCTACTAGACAACTGATATAATTACATATTTACTTTTTTGTAAATACATACTTATTATACATAGAAACACCCAATGCACACAATTATTTTATTTATTTTATAATGAGTGTAATATTATAACCAAACGTCAAAGAATACAAATCGATGATTCAATATTTTAAACTAGTTGTCACTTAAAGTTGAGAGTAGATTTAAAATAAAATGAATTTATTGTCGGTAACAAAATGCTATAACATTGGTTGCGTTTTGTGTTTGTGTTATTATTAAATGCTCAAATAATATAAATTATTATCTTATCAAAAATAATAACTTTTTTTATTAAACTACATATTATACCTTTTTTCTTCCGTAAACTGAAGTTCATTTTAAAGTAACAGAAATTAAAATATATATCGTGTTATAAAAACAAAAACCTATTTAGTTTTTTGTTTTAATTAGGATTAGGATATATTCAGCAGGCACAGCATTGCCGGGTGATTGATCGGTGATCGATCACACAGCGGAAGCTCAAAAGGAGCTGCCACCGACAGTTCAAGACGAAGAAAGGTATAAGTAGGCCTATCAAATATTTTCTAGTGTTATGTATACATGCATGTGACTAGCCAACATCATACCGTCGTATATGTCTGTGTTATCTGGTTATGAACATTACAGTGGGACTGCATTTATGACCGTTAACTGATCGGTAAAAGCGAGAGGGTGACGACGGTGAGGTCGATACGTGCGAAGATGTAGCGCGGTACCGACCGCGACGAGCGAGAGCGCGGCGACGGTGAGGCCGATGCGCGTGGGCCACGAGTCGCGCCGCTCCGCCGAGCGCGGGTCCCAGGCGCCGCAGTTGGCGAGCGCCAGGCACCCGCCCAACACGCACTCTATGAGCGCGGCCTCGTGGAGCGGCAGGCCGGGGGCGGGCCGCGTGACGCAGGAGGCGGCGGCGGCGGGCTGCAGCGCGTGCAGCGCGCCGGCGCCCAGCACCGCGCCCGCCAGCTGCGCGCCGCCCAGCGCCAGCGCGCGCCGACCGCCCACCCTCCCCCACAGCACGGCCGCCAGCAGCACCGTCGGGTTGAAGAACGCCCCCGAGATGTGGTCCAATGTCTGTCGAGTGCGACGGTATATCTCTTAACCTTGTTGTTGACGTACGCCAGGTCAGCGTTAGCGATGAAGTTCATATTACGACGACCCAGAATTCAGTATGAATATTAAAGAAATACCCGAGAGAGGGCCGAGTTAAAGAGGATCGTCGCTTTATATAGGAATCGACGGTTTCTCGTTCTGGAGGTCTAAACTTTACAGGAATATAATTTATAGGTAAAAGGCGCGCTAGTTAAGAACGAATCTAGAAAAGGGCCCGATTATGGATGTTCAAAGACTCTCGCAGCTGCAGCAGTGACATAGATGCTGTTGCTGAGTGATGCAATTATGTTCATGATTGAACAGGGGGACTGGTTTAAAGGTTATTTTTCTTTGCTGGTATGGTATGGCAAAGAATGGAACTTTGTATCCAAGTAGTATATATACAGAGCCTTATATACACATATATAATATGTATAATTATGCTATACTAGGACGATTTGCAAAATATGGCAACCTATTTGGTTTACAATTTGCGACATCATGTGTAAAGTAGCCATGATAGAATGACCAGCTGTAAACTTTGCCACTTTTACTAGGCTCAAAAAAAATAGGTGGACTACATCAGGATCAAGGATCACCGTGAAGATTCATAACAAAACGATTGTCAGAGAGTCAGCTGGGCCGGCCACCTGCGATGAATGGATGTCGTGAGATCTGTTAAGAATATCTCAAACTGGAACTCGCAACAAAATCGTTCCAGAGAGAGAAACGATGTAAGGAAGGAAGCATCGGAGAAACAGTCTCGAAGAGAAGGGAGAGCCGAGGACGTAGAGAAATAAAATGTTCAGGAGGCCACATAGGGTTGTAGTGCTTGAGAATATAAAGTAGGATTATGAAATTTATTTAATTAAATCAATTACAATATTTTATTAAATAAATATTCATCAGATATTAATGTAAGCGTGCTCATAAGTTTTAGTGTAAGCTGTTTCTTGATGAGCTTTTAACTGAACCTGGATTTGAACTTTGAACTACACAATACTTACCATTGATTTTAGAAAACAATCACTGTTGGATGGTTTTTCGTGCCTCACGCTTCTGAATTATTAGCAATTTCTATACTTAGTGGTGGTTTTTCCCATCGATGGAAACATTCGTGCTAAACTAAAAGTTAATTTTCAAGTTTGGAAATAGATATTAAAATATCTTATAATTTCTCGTAGTGAAAGCGATCCACGTTCGTAGCGTACAGAGGGGAAGACGGGAGTGGGTGGAGTCCAACGTTAGCGAGTCCGACGCGTCAGCGTTTAAGACCACATTTCGCCTCAGCGGTCAGACCACCGGCCTACTAAGACTACCGGAGCTTCTAGTTTATTCATAAAGATGGTTCAAAAGTACAATAACAATTAGGAAACAGATGCAAGAATGAATCGAAAACGAGGGGCGAGATCGCGTGTAAGGCCAGCGGGAGCTCGCTCACCTGCACCAGGGCGGTGACGACGAAGCCGGCGGCGAGCGCGCGGTGCAGCGGCAGCGCGGCGGCGCCGGGCGCGCAGGCGGCCAGGCAGCTCAGCAGCACCAGCAGCGCCGTGCCGACCAGCTCCGCCAGCGCCACGCGCCACAGCGCGCCGTCTCGCCGCGCGCCGCGCCCGCACCCGCACCGCACCGCTACACACCGCGACGCTCCATTATTGCCGTCTACGTTTATGACGCGGGACTCACTGTTGGGATTTATTCTAGTCTACGTCTCGGCATACCTGCTGCATGAATCGCGTTTGAGTTTTGCACAAAACAGTACTAGTACTAGTTACTAGGTAACTCTTTAAACTAGAACGATAGCAATCCAAGTAACGAGTTATTTACATAGCCTTAGCACGGTCGCTTCCGTTTTGTACATCGCGCAAATCTTGGTACTTACGAGCGGGCCTACGGAAAAATGAGCAGTTCAAATATTTGTGCCACACGAACGCCATTTTTATTTAAATAAATTTGCAGACGTAGATAAAGCGGGTTAAAATAAATCCTTGTGCTAGATTGTTTTATAAATAACTTAAAAGATATTTTAGTTTTCAAGGACACACATATACACCTAGAGAGGTTAATATAGCATAGTACAACCTTCTGGTTATTTACAAATCTTCTAGATTTCATTTTCATTGAATCGTATGATTAGTTATAAACCCTTAATTAAATTATTTCAGTAAATTTACATAATGTTGGTCGAAAACTAACAGTACGTGAGAGTAACATTTTACGGTAGTCATTAATAAGGTTTTAAAAATTTAAGCCAAAGGCGAAAGAAGACGGTTGAAATATTGTACTAAGCAGTAGGCAGTACTTAACGATACTAAATTCTTTATTCATTGACATCAGTAAATTAAGGAGAATAAATGGACATTTTTTTAATGACTTTATCGTTACCAATGGTACGTGAGCCCTGAATTTTTTGTTCAAAAAGGTTCAGAAAATGTTGAAATCTTCATAAAGGAAAGCCGTTGAATATAATCGTTACATTACAGTGAAATCGCGATTCTTGCAACGAAATAAAATAGTTACATTTCGAACGTCCCGCAACCTCTCACATCAAAGTTCCTCAAAGTCCTCTCACATTCACGATTGTAATGAAATAAACTAAAAGTATAAATTAAAGGTGTCACCGAAACAATTTTTCTCGGGTGGATGGGTGATCGGCGTGAACCGATCCCTTGATGGAGGAGGTGGAGGCACCCCACGAGCCCCGCGACGAGTGAACAGAAGCAGAGCCACTCACCGTCGCAGTCGTCGGCGTCGAGCGGCGGCGGCGCCATGAGGTCGCGGCGCGAGTGCGCGCTCATCGCCGCGCCGCGCCGCCTCGCACTGACGTCACCCGCTGTGTGCTTGCGGCCCGATACATCCGGGTTTACCTATTACTCATCCTTGTTGGCTTCCATCTCCGAATCTCCCTGTATATCACCCGACTCTCACTCTACGCCGGACTCACCGACAGCTCTAGGCTCTCTAACTCTTTCTCTCTCTAGCTTTTCTGCAGATTTTTACTCGCATGTACTAATACTGCAACAGAATTCAAAAGAGATAAACCTAGCCGTGGAATAGTACGTAACCGACACAGGTGTGGATACCCTTTTCTAATTAATACCCAATATGTTACCACTGGCCCTCATTGGTTCTCGAAAAATAAACATGTAATAAAAGTATTTTGAAATGCATGAATTCTATTACAAGTTTATAATTTTGAACTTATAAATATATGCTCAATTCCGACCCCTTCACTCATGATTCACCAGAATTATTTTAAAAAAACTGTGCGATTTTGAGTACTTCAATCTATCACAATTCCAAAAGAACTAAACTGATAATATTTCACTAGATATTAATATCCTTCGTCTCACCCTTAAAAGGATCTGATAAGTGATTCTCTACACATGGGTGTTGTTATTATGACCGACAACGTGTCAAATAAACTCTGACATTTACTTATAAGGTGTTGTTGGTGACTATTTTGTACAGGTAGACACGCTCGACAAATACAGATCAATCACGACAACCCCTCCCCACCTCTGTGGCTGCACGCACTCCCGGCGTGACGCGACGTGTATGTAATGATGCCTTTATGGTGAGGCATCATTACATCACACATTCATACTGCGCATTCACATTGTACATTTATTTACTGATTCAAATTGAAATTGAAGTGTGGGAAGACACCGTGACAAGGCCGGACTCCTACTTTTACAATCATCATTCAAAACTATCCTGACATGTACGTGTATCATCTAATACAGATAACAGATGAATGACACGTCTAAAAATATTTTAAACATTAAAAATAATGTACCCGGACCTAAGAAAACATTATGAAACAACGGCATACCGGTAATTAGTAATAAAACACACAGTGCCTCAATATTTGTAGACTCTGTCTAACATGTACAATATTTAAACTTGGATTTTGTTGTACATTCAATAGGTACATAGCTTTTTATTTCACACATCACAATTACATGCATTCACTAATTAAACAACACCAAAGCTATCTTAATAAGTAGGTGTTATCTACGAGATGGCTGACGTACCAACAATACATTTAGTTGATATATCTGATAACGAACACAACGATACGCATCTTATATTTCCGATAGGTTAGATTGATCTAAGATACACGCATGCGCAGACATGCGAGGTAAAGCCATCAAGTTAAAGAGCGTAGGCCTTGATATCAATCAAAATAAAAAGAACATTTGATTCATTAATACTGTATACCCAAAGAGAACCATAAACTACACAAAGAAATGTTAACACCCAGATCTAATACTCATTAGCAACACAAGAATTGACTACACAATTTATTTACAACTTGCATACCGGCAACACTACATTTCATCGCCGACAAAAGTGTTTTGGGCATGCTCTCTACTTGCGGTAAACTAATTTTGAATACTAATTTTGGACACATTGAACACAGAATTACGAGAGGGCTGAGGTATAATGCGCTTTGTGGTCTAAACATGCCTCTTAGAACTAGCCCAGGTAGGAAGGCAAGGTCTATAAGCTTACAAAGTAGGCACAGGCTTAAGCGTGGAGCACCACATAACGAGAGAGTACAGCTCCACATCTATAAAAGGAGAACGGCGTAAGCCGTAGGACACTTATGAGAAGCGGCTGATAGAACATGAAGCTGCTCGGAACGGAATAAACGAAAAAAAACGTCGAGGACAAAGAGGAACGTAACTGCTTGTATTGAAAACAATTTTTTTTTTAGGTCTTTATTTTCAATTAATTTGTAAATTTATTTCATTTATTGGATTATCAATGTGTTAAGTACTATTACACGGTGCTTTATTTTAGGTCTTTGCCTATGAAGTTAAAGATTTGTATGAAAATTTTAAAATTTCGCTTATTTTTTTATTTTATCTAATCAAAGTGGTGGCCCAAATTGTCTATAATTTCTTTCAGTTTCTTTATCCATTTACTGTAGAAGTCTGATGGACGATAGGCGATAAGTTAGCGAAAGCGTTTTGTACTGCCTTTGGGGTCTTGCATTTTTTCCCACTTCAAAAATGTCTAAAACACTATCTAAAAGAAATGACTCAATTTTAAAATAAAATGACTTTCGAATAAAATTTATTTGAATTTCGAATTGCGCACCAATCCACGCATAATTAAATCTGAAAATGCTGGTTTTAAAAATCTTCAACTTCACAGGTAAAGACCTATTAATGTTTTAAGTGGTAGATGTTTAATATAAAACAACTTGCAAAGATAATTATTTACCAGATCCTCACTTCAGGCGAGCACTAAGATGCTACTGAGGTTGCTTTAGTACCTGGAGATGTTAGTGATAGGTGTCGTGGCACACTACCATCGTTACTGTTTTGATATTAAATCAACTTTGTAATATACAGTGGTAAAGGATGTTTGCGAATCACAGCAGCGCATAAACTGAACAACTAAAAGATAAACACCTACAAGCGCCACTATCTACTTCTTAACTTAGATAACGTAGTACATGCTAATACTCACCGTTTTTATGCCCCTTAACTTCGTGTTTGTTGTGGGCGCTCATCATGTGTCCGTGGACAATCATTTGTACTTATTCCATACTCATGCCAAAATCATATTATAACGATTAGCGAAACCTGTTTCAGATCTGAAACGTATCTCCTGTTTTGTTTTCAAATCAATCAAAAATCTGCCATGTACTCTAATCAAAAAGCAGGTAACTCTGGCAGTTCGACTGTAACTCATTCATATTGTTTAGTAATGGCTGTTCATACCTATATTTATTTATAATAACATGTATGTATTTACAAAAAAAATGTATATATGTATTTATATCAGTTGTCTAGTACCCATAGTACAAGCTCTGCTTAGTTTGGGACTAGATGGCGTTGTGTGAATGTGGTACAATAAAAAACATGCATAAATTACTTAAGAGATCATTGGGCAGCTCTAAGACGGTACGAGACCCAATATAGATCCCTGGGACATTCCAGCTTTAATCTTTACATAGTATAAAATAAAGTATCTTTTTTTATGTTGTACGCTTAGATCTTTTAAACTAAGCAACAGATTTAAATGAGGTTTTCAGCAATAGAGAGAGGGATTTAAAGGAAGGTTTATATGTCTAATACATGCATATTATAGTAAAGAAAATCCAAGAATTTCAAAGATTTGTCGTAAAAACATGTTTTTGCAAACACCCCCTGAGATAGACCAAAATAATGTACTACGGAATTACATATTTTAAAAAGATCTACAATAAAGGACCATACAGTAACCATTTTTATCTTTTAAATATTACAAAATTATTATTGCTATTTTAAAGAATACGTTATTATTCCTTATCCAATTAAATACGTTGGATACGTTGTGCATTTAATGTAGATTGAAGTTGCTCTTGACAGTATATCATTAAATGAATATTTTAGAAGATATTAGAGGTTTAAAATGCGGGGGCCCATCGACCGTTGTGCCGTACGTCACAGTACGTCACGTACGGTGGGTGGCAGCGGCCGCCAGGATCGGTGTGATAAACATTGCATGTATAGATGTCCCGTAGTACAGCCCTATCATAATAATAGTACAATTAATTACTCCACACTGACACCACATTAGTAGTTACAGTAGTACCTACATTGCACCCGTGCGAAGCCGAGGCGGGTCGCTAGTTCGATATAAATATGACTTGCTAAGTTTAGGGAACATATCAAGTCACGCGGTGTGAGTCCTCCTTTAAGTAGGTTAGGTGGGTAGGTCCGACTACGATAGGAGGGTGATATTTTTTGAGTGTATGTTTGTGTATGTTTTTGGCACGCCTTTTGCCTAAACAGCTTTATGGATTGTGTCTGTATGGTGTCGTTAGATTAGTTTTAATTGTGAGAGTGCCACTAGGTATTTCTATATTTCAAACTAATTTTAATCAATTAAAGCCGTTTATGTGTCCACAATTTTTTCAATCATCAAATAGAGGGTATTATATATACACACATACATTACATATACTATATGCAATATAGTTATTTCAAACGAGAAATGCTATAAAGACTTTCCTTTCATTTATTTATTAATTCAGTTTATAAGTATACAATCATGCAGACGAGTTTTTTAATAATTACTTATATATATACAGAACTGCGATAGGGTTGGTGACCACAGCCCACTAATAACAATATTCTTAGAATTTGCGCCTGGACGCAATCGATTTGAACACTTCTTGTGATAACACGAGTATAAAAACATTGTGTCACTTCAACTAAATATTAATAATAACAATAATAATGAGACAAGAATACAACGTACCTTGTGTGAGCATATCACTCGACAGCGATCTCTTCCAGTCAAGCGGAGGTGGCTCTGAAGGTGCTTAGCCAATACTTGTATTATTAACTTTATGTTCCTTGTGAATATAGCACAGACTACATCTACAGTAACTATAAGGAGAAGCATCGTTCAGAGAGCTTCATGACAGGGTTTTCATGCAATAGTAAGGTAGCATTTACTAAAATACAGCAGCGAGCACGTTGTACTCATGACACTCATTCACAAATAAATACTTTTGCAAATTTGTGGGAAACCATTAAACATGCATCAATCCATCTATTACATTTAAAAATGTTAAGTTCGTCTTCAAAAACTCAAAAAGTTCTTCACGGATTGAGCTTAAATTTTGACACTATATAAACGCTTCAGACATGGTTTTTATCTAATCCTTGAAACCGCGGTGTATCAAAATGAAACGTGGCAGCGAACAGGTACTTCATTATAAAGCTAATGATGCAATTAAAACTGCTTTATATTTGAATTTCTAACAAAGTTGTGAATAGATAAAGCACTGAAAGGTTTTATTTGTCACACTGCGTTTTATATTTTTAGGTTCCGCTCACATCGACCGCCTCGGGGAGAAGTTATTTTTTTTAAAATAACGTGTCATTGAAATAACGTTGATTTTTAGTTTGAACCTTTAAATGGGAGTCGATTTAACGCGTTCAGATGAAACAATGAGGAAATAGTAAACTGTCCTTGTAGACTATCCGCTCGGCTTCCGGCTCATCAGCCGTCGAACAGTCGCCAGCGGCAGCGGTAACGGTTTTAACATTTTTCAGTCGGTTCGCGTGAGGTGCGAACGGCGAAGGACAGGATCCGCGGTCCCGACGCTAGGCCTCGAACATTTTTATGTTAGTCATATCGGTAGTTTTCCTGCGGTCATTTCGTTTTATCTGTCGGTGCACACTTCAGGAACGGCACTTTCGATCACAGACAAAGATTCGCGGCGTATTAAAAACAGGCTACACGAGGACGACGAGAGTCATCGGGAGATCGGGCGCGACCCGCGAGGGGAGGAAATGAAAAGCGTGAGTGGTGAATACGAATAGGTTTACTGAGGAGTTAGAGGCGCTGCAGGACGGGCGGCGCGGGCTGCGCGGGCAGCAGCGCCAGCTCCAGGTCGCGGCGGCGCTGCGCCAGGCGCGCGTGCATGTAGCGCGCCACGCCCTCGCCGGCCCAGGCCTGCGCGTAGAACGCGCCCAGCCGCTCCTCCTCCGCGTTGCCGCCGCCCGCCGCCGCGCCCATGCTCTGCGCGCGAGGGGGGGGAGCGGTCAGCGCGGCGCGGGCCGGGGGGGCCTCGCCCGCCCCGCCCGCCCCGGCCCGCGCACTCACCTTGAGGTCGCGCGACTGCGACACGAGCCACTTCTGGATGAACTGCTGCGGGTCCATGCTGAAGCTCAGGAAGAACTCGCGGTTCGTCTTCAGCTGGTTGATCGTGTCCACCTGCACGGAACGCGAAAGTGCGTCAGTGCGGCCGCGGGGCGACCCTCCCGTCGACCCCCACGGGGGTCGCCCCGCGCCGCTCGAGCGAGCGCCCACCGAGCGAGCCCTACGCTACGATCTTCGGTCATCTCTATTTCTCTATACCCGATGCCTCCGTTAGACGAGCCGTTTTGAAGCATAACATCAAAAAAATAAAATGACAAATACAATAAACAGACTGTCAGAAGCGCAAAATACCAAAAAAGTACTTAAACGCTTTAACTGCTCACATATTGATTTTTACTTTTTCCAATATCCAATATAGACAGTTCAGTTCCGACATTTACCAGCCGCTAACTTCGCTCGCTCGACCAACAAAACTCACCTAACCAACCGTTTCATTATCTATAAACTAGTGGAATTGGTTCAACTATTACAGCGCTAACAGTTCGGCAACTGAACATTCTATTTGACATCTGAAATTCTGCCATTTTTTGACTATTGGCTATCCATTTGTCGTTTCGCTCTTTTGACCTTATGTTCCAAAACAGTGACGAAGCGGTCGCAACTGTACTAAGTGATTTGATAACTACTTCTTCATTTTTTTTTATCGAACAAAGGGCAAACGAGAAGACGAGTAACATGATGGAAAGCTACAACCGCCACCCATGAACGCCTGCTACTCCGAAGGAAGAAAGGTACGCTCTTTTCTTGAAGGTCGTACTGGGCCCTAAATACCGCAAACGATAACTTTGCCACCGATCTTGAAAAGCGCACAGTGAAGTTTTAATTATCCAATTTGTTTGAATGAAAATTTTGCCGTGTCTGTTGATATGTACGATAGAGAATGCTAAGTGAAGCTACATCTCTTCGTAACGCCAAGGGATCGAGCCGGACGGAATCTTTCAGAAATGATGGCAACTACAACCCCTTAAAATATCTAAGTAACCCTGTATATATTTAACTTGTTTACCATTTTATTGTTTTAAAAACATTCACGTGTTAACCATTTGGAAATAGCTTATTATACATTGTATAAAACTGACTTAAATAAATTATATTTTATTTCTATCTACTCGTTTGTAGCTCAATGAGGCAAATAGAATATAAAAATAACTGAACAACTATCGGTTTAGTTATTCGGCGCGTACCATATCTATGCAATGAAATGTTTAAATCAAGATATTCGTTCTAAACGTGTCGAAGTCGTAACGAAAATTAGGACATACCGTCTCGTGTATCTTGGCGTCGAGCCCCTGGATCTCTTGCTGATTGGCCGTGCTCAGCAAGAAGTTGTTCATCTGCGTCTTGAGGGTGTCGTCGACCTGCGAGCAGAGCGGCGGGTGAGTGGGGGGCGGGTGGTGCGGGTGGTGGGGTGGGGCGGGCGGGGCGGGCGCTCACCTCGACGTCGATGTCGTAGCAGGCCGTCTGCTTGGTGTCGTGCGGCGGCTCGACGGCGATGACGTGGTTGATGACGATGGGGTCGGGCGGGTGCAGCAAGGCCCCGAGACGGCCGGGCACCTCGGCCAGCTTCATGCGCGCGGTGCCGAAGATCTGCTCCAGGTACTTGTCGCACACGACGTACTCGCGCTCGTGCGGGTCCTGCAGCCTGTGCGTCTTCACGTACTGCCAGAGCGCGTTGACGATGACGGGCCGCGTCTGCGTGTGCACGCCCAGCAGGCGCGCCAGGCGCTGGTCCAGCTTGAACTGCAGCGGCTGGTAGTCCAGCAGCAGCAGGATCGTGCAGCGCACGTTCTTGTAGCCGGGCCGCTTCACCTGTACACCCACACACGCTCTATTGTGCCTGCCTTTATTTCGGTAAGTTTTTATTTATCTGTGTTATGTGTGCATTGCATTTGGTCCAATGTATGAATGTAGGTAGAATATAAAAATTAATTTCTTTTTTAAATTAATAAAATTTAAGTCAGTAGAATTGCCAATGTATGTCTACCTCCGTTATTTAAATTTTTTAAATGTAGAGTTATTAACCACACACTTATATAAATTTTGTTTGGTTTGACACTGTTTAAGGATTTTGTTATTAAAATTGATAAAAGGTAATTACCTAAATCTTTTTGTTACTTTACATACATATATTTAGAATTTTATCACATAACTAATATTTTTTGTTACCCATTTATGCACATTAGAATATTTAATAGTTATTAGTGTATAAGTTCTCATATATATGAATAAAGATTTCTGAAACCATAATGGGCTGGTCTAGGATGACTGCGTTGATAAAATATGTACCTAGTTAGTAGGGTAGTTTAACAATTATGATGATGGTGAACATTTTAGGATTATTACTATTTTCAAGTCTATTAGTTGTGTAAACCAATACTGCCTTACAAGTACATGATTTGAAAATAAAAACTTATAAAATAATAATATCAAAAAGTGTTCAAAAACACAATAAGTGCAGATGCCATCGTGATGAATGAGAAATTTTCTCATTCATCACAGCAGCGAAGTTGCGCTCTCACAATGCGCCGACGTAGCGATCTGAGCGAGTCATTAACATGTGGACAACTTTGTGGCTTCGATACGCCAACAAATATATCGATATGGTTTATATTTTTTCTTAGAGAATCCACATTGAATTATTTACAGATATTAAAGTAACTTATTGTGTATGTGTCCATAGATTTTTGCTTCGTCTTTGTAAAGTGTGTGACAGATATTAGATTACTAACGTGTTAGTCAACACCTGAATGTGGAATCATATGATCCTACATTCAGATGAAAGCTGATCATCACGTGATTTAGTTTTGTAATGAGGAGAGGTGGGGTGGGGTGGGGTGGGGTATGGTACCTGGAAGCCGTCAGTCTCTTGCGTGGTGAGCGTGCGGTGCCACTCGACGAGGTGGTTGTCGGGACCGTACAGCTCCTTGTCCAGCTCGATCACCAGCGACTTGAAGAACGAAGAGAACTTGCGCTTCACCTGCAACACCTCCGCACCCGTCACCTTACACTTTACTATTACTTTGTATGTACACCTTTTTAAACTCATTTGCACAAACCCTACTTTAAATGTAAACAATGAGTGGGCTATCACTGAGATTACAGACATGATCTATAATCAAACACATATTACATGTTGAGTCTAAACAATGGAGCTGGTAGCGGCATACTTTCCTTGATCTTAAGACTCTGAACTGGATGCTCATCAGGAAGAGTCTCAGAAAATATTATAACACTCAAAGCTAAACGTCGAGTTATGTATGTTATGCACCCGTGTCGTACAGATGCTCGATGTTTGGACCAAGTAATCCTCAGAAACTAATTTTCAAGATTTAACCACTTGATAGAAAGGTATGACTATTAAATTGGCGAATCACCGACTGGCAAACGTAGATAATAAGCTAAAGGGTATTACAACGAAGTAGTGCGTATAGAATCGTGCGCAGATGAGCGTAGTGTGGGTAGTAAGGAGTAGAAGTATTACTTTGTTGGGGTCGTTCTTGGTGTCGTCGAGCAGGCGCCCCTCCACGCGCAGCTCCCACGAGGGCACCGCGTTGTCGCCCTGCCCTGCGCACACAACGACAACTTACAGTACAAAATCGAACTATTTCAACATTGATCCGAGCTTTGATCCTAGATGTAGAACAGTATTTTTTCCCAAAAAATATTTTCTTTAACATCGTTGCATTTGTATTAATTGACAGTTAAGCTCTTTTTCGAATGCAACGTTAACGATCTGTGACCCAAAAGCAAAAGATGTTTGCTTTGGTTTTTAATTCATTCATTCATGACTGTAACTAAATAACACGAAGGATATTTTCTGATCTTTTGATTGTTTACTAAATTTATTCTTTATATAACTGAAGCAACAAAATAAATATCAGTATTTTTTTTTATTCTATAGCTATTAATTGTCGAGTGTATTGTGTTATACAATAAAAGCTTTCTTAAGCTAACTTCAATCTGATCAGTATAAAAATCTCGCTCGATATAAACGGGTACATGCAATACCTGGATAAAACGTGTTAGATATGAATATTCGCAGTTTCCTTTTCTGTTTCATGGGTCGCTTGAGCGCCTCCTGTATATCGAGACGCTTGCGCATGATAGTGGCATCGAGTTTCCGTTCGAAGGCGAGCAGGTCCATGTAGGCCTGCGACTCGGGAACCAAGTCGCGCACCTGTAAACCGCACGAGACGCCCGCATTACATCATAGTACGTCGATCGAGTCTCGAGTTGGGTAAAACGCAACGGTCATTTTAATTAGTCGAGACTGTTAAGCCATGCGACATTGCGGTCTGCAAATGCAGGCAAATGGAATTAAAAAAAACAGTGGCACTCCGGGAGTAAATACAGAAGTCAAAACTTGTTATTTTTTATAACAGAATTAAATATATATCTATGTTGTACGTATACACAGTAAGTATATTTCAAAATTATATATAGTTATTTTATCAATGTATTTTAACCCAAACTCAACTCAACTCTCGTGTAAATGAGGCCAATATATGTATTTATATACAGAGGTGTCGATAACGGTAACAGTGTCGTGAGTTCGACGGGTTTTTCCCATTTCAAAAAATATATTATTTTGCTTCTTATTGTTCAAAAGTGCCCCATGCGCCTAAAGAAGTTTTCGCTTCAAAAAGTAAACTAAAACTAAATAACAGAAAATGAATTAAAGCACCTTTTGCGGTAATATTTTGTCAGCGAGTCGCTTCTTACGCTTCGCGGGGGCGCCCCCCGCCGAAGAGTACGCGTCCGGGTTATACAAAGGCTTGTGCTGGGGAGGCATCGGAGCTCTGGCGTCGGCCGCGCGCTTCGTGGGCTGAGGGGGCGCAGGCGCGGCGGGCGCCGGGCGCATCGCAGCCTGCGCCGCGGGGCCCGCCGCCGCGCCGCCGCCGTACGCCGCCCCACCAGCGGCCCGCGCGGCGGGGCCCGCGCCCCCCACCGGCCCGCCGCCGCCGCCCACGGCGCCCACCGGAGGCGGCGTGAAGCCACTGCGAGCCTGACGAGATTAAGACATAATATTTTATTTATTTATTTATGATAGACGCTGACAGTGTACTTAAAAACCAAAAAAAACCTAAGTTATCATTCGTAATAATGAATCACGAAACTAAACCTTAAGGTTCATAAATTTTCGGCTAGGGTTCTAGCTTGTTAAGAATCGATCTTTGATTGAACATCCATTACAGGATTAAAATTCAAATGGTCTAGGAAACCTTGGTGGTGCACGTACACATAAAGATAATAAAAATGAATCTTATTTAAAATTGTATAAACAACACTCAAAAAATGTAAACGTAGGAGTCTACTAGGACTAGTCTAGGACTGTTTCTGATAGTGTCTCTACGGATTGCCAGCAATCAGAGATTAAAACTCACTGAATGACAAAATAAGTTTAGATCATTAATAAACCTAAATCCTTTTTTTTAGATCAGCAAAAAGTTAAGATTATGCTGTCAGCCCATAACCGCAGTCAGGGCTACTTAAATCAAAATGTCAGGCCAACTCTTGCCATAACTCTTGTAATCACATTAATTCTTCTTAACAGAATTTTCTATGGTAGAATGTTAGTAAGTCTATAAAAATAGAAATGATTTACCAAATGTGTTGCTAAGTCCAAAACTTGAGAACAACTTTATAGTCAACATTTATATACAATTATATACAAGATTTATATGGAGAGAAAAACGTAAAACAGAAAAACAACACCGTACAGACTAAATTAAAGCATATTTGAGATTGGAAACGAACAATTGATTGATTAATTAAGTAAAACAATTGATTAATTGATAGTTATACAGATTATTAATGTAAAAAATAGTTTTGGTAACATTGACAACTCATTTTAGCCATTTTTCGACTTAGTGGCTTTCGATTTACGCGGACGATTTACACAGTATTCGAATAATTGTGTACGTAGATGTAAAAAACGCCACAAATATTGTCACTGTGGCTCATTGGCGGAGTTAATGCCTAAGGCATTCTCTAACAGTCAACCTTTGAGTGATACAGAGAAAACAGGAAGTCGGTGCAAACACACTCGCTGAATTATCATTTACTGCAAAATTAACTGTAACCAAAAGCGGTTACAGTTAATTTTATACAGACTAAATATAGCAATTTAAACTGAATACAAAATAACATATTAACACAGAAGTACATACATTACAATACACGAATACTGTTCAAAAGAATAAAATACATACATACATATATTATGCATAGATACTAATAACAATTTGATATTAGAAAATCACAGGCAAGTTGATTTACACAGTTATTTGATCAGACTGATTTACTTTTACTTACTAAGACAAAGTGTTGGCGGTCATCATGATTTCGAAATTTATGGGTGCATTCAGAAATTTATTTTCTGATTATACTGAGAAGAAGATATCAAGCTACATAAAAGAAACTGGACAAGTGCGAGTCGGGCTCACGCACTGAGGGTGCGGTGATGAATGATTTAGTTACAAAATTATAGTTTCTTTCAGTTCAGATCTTCCTTGTCCTTGTAGTATAAGATGGTATTTCTTGCACAAATTTTATAGTTTTAGGTTAACGAGAAGTACCCTATAAATTTTGATTCCTTTGAAATATGAGTGTTCCTTTTTTTTATTAAAGTGTGATTTTTTTACAGCTTCAAAGGTCTGTAGACCTGAGTATATAGCTTAAGTTCAACTCAATACCTACACGAGTTCCAACAGACAAGAAAGTTAGGATCACTTTAAGGGATCCAATTTATTCATTTTGAGAGACACAAACAAAGTTGCACAGGTCAGCTAGTAGAACAAATTATTATTTATTTATGTTTTTCTTTACATAGACAACTCCCGCACTAGGGATTGGACCTACAACACTCAGCGTAGTTGCAAGCAGCGTGGCAACCACTTAAAGCACTACGCCATCCTTATTATTGTTAAATGTCTTAGTAGAGTTCCTTTAAACTCTAAACAAACCACACAATGTTTACATTGGATGTTGTCAAGTCAAAGACAGTAAGAGGATATTTTGAGATCCTTACATCATTCTCTTTTAAATCCACTGCAGCAAGGAATATCCACAAAACAAATTCAGAAGTGTTATACCTTGTTGACACTGACTAGTCCAAGGTGGGTACAATCAATATATTGTCTCTATTTATAACTGGGGTAGTTAGTTGCCTACAGTTAATTATTTAACGTAAACTTTAATGTATTCAAGGCTTGGAAAAATCAATTTATTTTAAACATTCGTCTTTACTTTTTATTAACAGTTTAAACACTGTTGGTTTGTAGATCTTGATAAAAATATAACTGACGGTCACTAGAACACAAAATTTAACAAACGAAAAAGAATAAGTATTGTAGCATTTGTAACAACAACTCAAGTGACCAGTATATAGGGCGGTACAAAACTGCTCTGAAATTATAAATCCTTACAGGAAAATTGGGTCCTGGGTAAGGTCTAGGCGGCATAGGGGATCCCTGAGGTTGTGCAGGACCAGGGTACCGTTGCTGCGGTTGCATGGCGCCCGGTGGTGGTGCGGGGCTTGGCCCGCTTGGGGGAAAACTGCGTTGTGCCATCTTGTCACTGATTTTAGTTACTCTTATTAATTACTAAAACATCACTTTCGCTTATATTTTAGAGGATTTATATGCTATATTAACATGAAATTGCACACTTTCTTTCACCGCAACAATGTCAAAATAAAAACCATTTATTATACTTAATTTAATGACGCGATGCAAGGAGTGTTGCCAGGTTGTTTTTATTATTAAAAAGTACCAATTGAATTTTCAGTTACCACTGTTACGGGTTACCGTTTTGCATTTAAAAAATTGACAAATAATCAGTACCCAAACAATTTTCCACATAATTTCATTCTCCAAATTATTACTTAGCAAATAAACTCTTCACAAATAATATTCAAGCAAACCTAATGTTTGACAAATGAATGTTTAAACAATAACTTGATTACCAACTAGTACTTGTACCAATTTTAATGTAGTAAATTATTTTTGTTGGTATAACTAATTTTATGTAAAAAAAATAGGCCGAATCTCTAGTCATATAGAATATTTAGTTGAAGACGTTTTATTAAAAGGGTGTTTTTTTCCACTTGGGACAAATTCTAAATGTCAATCATAACTATTCTGGTAGTAGTTTCTGGTTTTATATTAAAAATATGTTTTTGGCCTGGCTTCTTTTGGTAATTTTCTGCCCAATAAAATTTTGATCAAATGAAAGTGGGCGTAATAAAATCATTCCAAATATTGCATTGGTATAAAAAAAGATTGCTAAAATTTGTTGGAATAATGATATTTTGATAATTTTATTTTACATTTATTAAATTATTATTACATATGATTTATTTATTTTAAGACAATGAAAAAATACTATTTTAATGACTACAACATTTTAAACCTCTTAATTTACCCTGAAAATGGCATCTCAGTTTAATTGAATGTCATTAGTAATAGGAAATAATCAAATTCATTGCTTACAACACTGTATCCACATAAAAATGTTGTCATAGTTATATTGTTTACTAATAATTCTCAAACAAGAAATTAAAATCGCAATCAAAATATTTTCGTTACTGGTAATCTTCTTCCTACAAATTCCAAGGTCTGTCGGAACCACGCTACTAAAACTTTAGAAAGTACCTTCCTCCGTTTCTATGTTCTAATTATTATCTGTGTTGGTTTTCTACAATATAACTTATCTACAAAAATACTGTTCGGAATTGAATTTTACTGATTTTTTATTATGAATTTCGTAAAGAAAAGTGCCTTCGGAAAAAAACATTTATTTTTTACCACACAGAGGCAATAATAATAATCATTATTATTTGTTTGCATTTTTTGTACTCATATGTACGGGGTGTCACAATTCATATTAACAATGGTTTAAAGTTCATTATAATATATCCTGCCTGGTAGTCAAAAAACAGCATTAGGTATATAGCCAACAAGTGTGAATACACTTTTGTTTAGCTAGACAGCTAGGTATTAACCACATTAAAGCAAAAATCAAAGACATTGAGCCATCCTCTAGTTGTAATAAGAAAGAAAAGATAACCTACATAAACAGCCAGCTCAATATTTAAAAATTAAATAACATTGCAATAAAGACGTATTAAAAGTAAAAACTAAACGATATATGTTTAGTTTTTACTTTTAATACACTATCTAAATGAGATGACAATATGATAATTACTACAAAAATTAAGGACGTTATAAATTAAATTAATGCCGTCTCCGCGTCGTGTCTTAAGGTGCAGAAACTTAACGCTACGGTTGGATGAGTATTATTTTATCTGTGCCTCTTTTCGCGGGGATTTTCAGAAGTTTTGAATTGAATCAAACGCTAACGCTATTAGATATTCCCAGCAGGTATGATAATCGTATTAGTTGCATAACATTCATTGCATGAAAATAAAATTACTTTATAAAAAGGAATATTATCTGTACAGTTATAAGGTCCACAAATAAATAGTTTAATCAAATGAAGAAAAGAATATAAATATTTATTCAACAGGTCATTTTAAAGTTTAACGTTACAAACTCTTTCACAGACACTCTTAAGCAAATGTAATATGAAAATAAATAAATAGACTGTAATATCTAAATTATCGTGAGGTTTTAACTATCATAGTCGATGACAAAAGATTTTAATCAACAGATGGCGCTACCGTACTCTGAAGTGAAATATTTGTTGCAAATTTTAGTACTTAATATAATTTGTTATGTTTATTTGGCATATTATTATATAATATTTTAACTTATTTAGTTCATGTTTTAAAATAATGCAGTTAAAACTAAACACAACATTCGTAATTAATCTGTCCTGATTGGTGATTATTTATTATTAAAAATAGGTAATATTAAAATAAAAACATAATTAATGTATTACATAATCCTTGTTGACTTGCTCCGATATTCATGACTACAATCTTTTATGTAATTGCTGCGTACTTCTTTTACATACTGTGTATACATATTCCTTCATTTACGTATTTTAAATAGGTATGGTCTTATTATAATATAACAGGAAGAAAGTAAGAAGTGAATTTACAAATATTTGAGTAGGTAGGTGCCAATGTGCAGAAAAATACCATCACAGTGACACCAATTAACTTAAATAAAAATGGCGGTGTTTTAAAAAGTATATCAAATAATTGAGTTACTGCTATTTAATCGCAAAAATAGAGTTGTAGTACATACGAAGTCAACTTTTCACTGTGTTTTACAGAAAAAGGTTTTTCATTCCGCGGTAGCCTATTATATATAAGAACATAATTAGTATACATTTAGATAGTGTACCAAATGAAGCTTTTAACATTAAAATTGACTTAATTCGCATTGAACTATAAGTTTATGAACTATATACTTAATAATGCTCCTTACTCCACTTAAAGCATAGGCTCATGTGGTTAAACAAGACTAGAAATGATAAAACCGCAAATGAATATCAAAGATTTCGCCCCTGATCAAAAACTAATTTTGTGTCTATGGAGGGTATCCCACACTGGCACTCATATTAAACACAAAGTAGACACTCTACTGTGTCCAGGCGTAGGTATATTCCTTGCACCAGGGACTTCCTTTCTAGGGTATACCTGGTTCCCCGGCTATTAGTACCCGAGACGGCGTGCGGTTTTAGTCGGTTCGAGTCCGACATGCCACCGACAGGTGGTATCCGAGGGGAGTTCCGCACGGGAAAAAAAAAAAAGGCGTAGGTATATGCCGAGAAAAATATCAAGCACAAAACTAAGAATAGTATTTGTTGGAAACCACACTCAGACGATAATCACAATCTAAGACATATATTGTACTCTATGCTCTAATTCATCTAATAGTCGCAAATATCGCAAATAGTTTTCTGCAAAAATAGCAATTATAATTAATTATCAATTATTATTAGCAATCATTCAATTATACTGAACACAACATAATTAGTTGTGTGCTGTTTGTAGTTTCCATTAGTTAGAGCAATTTTTAATTCTTTTAATTAGGAATATATAATGTGTCGCGGGGGAACGATTTTACGAACATACATGAAACTGACAGAAAGAACACCCAGACTCAGAACAACAATTTGTTGATCACACAAAGTGTCGTCCCATGTGTGGATCGGACAACACTCCGCGTAGTAGTAAACCACTACGCCATCCGTGCAGTCAGTTTAGTAGCACATCACACTTCTTACTTACTCTCAATTACAGAATAATAATACGTAAATAGTAGTTTGTCCGTGTGGTGACGGCTTTAGAATACAGAGTGTCACCACCCTCATTCACCCTGTGGGTGTCGTAAGAGCCGACTAAGGGACAAACTATGCAGGACAACGGCACTGCAAAGAGAAAGATGACTTGAAACAAACCCTATACCAACCCGTCTGGCCAGCGTGGTATAGACCAAAACCTCCTTTCTAAGGAGAGGCCTATGTCCAGCAATGGACTATTAAAGACTCTACTAAGATGAAGAAATCTACTACGAGAAATTATTTTTTAAAGTACTTATTTCTTGAACCTACTAAGACACAGGAACGGGATATGTTTATATGTTAGAAGTTCAAACTCGCCAAGTTTATGTTGATACATATGTTGGTACATAGTCCTCTCAGTAGTCTATTTGTACGACAAAGATATTATTCTTCAAAACGAAATAAATATTTATGATAGAGCTGTACTATAACGCTAGTCAATATCGATATTAGACACAAGTCCAAGACCGATACTGGCTGGTGCACATCTTTGATTAATTTGGGCGTCTTAACTAAGCCCTACCGTGCTAATGTATCGGCCCCATCGCCGGGTTAACTAAAACAGTCTCTTTACGTTTCACTGGACATATTTTGTCGTTTAATTACTCTTTCGCTAATCGCAGTCCACTGTTGGAAATAGACCTCTTTGTATCTTATGCTAATTTATTTCTTTTTTATTTTCTTAGTGTCTATATCTCTAGGTCCAATGAGAGCGGGTTGTAAATACGTAAGATATATTATAAACATTTATAGGGAAGGTACTGATTGTATCATGGATTTCCTTTCTAGGGGACACCTGGTTCCGCGGTTACCGGTACCCGAGACTGCGTGCGGTTTTTAGGCGGGTCGAGTTCAAAATAACCACCCCACTGGTTGTCCGGTGATTTCCGGGAGATTTCCGCACAAAAATAAGAGTGGGTAGTGACTTTCCAGCCTTCACTAAAGTAGTAATGTGAAGTAAAAGAGTAACTAGAAATTCAATTTATTTTATCAAGAAATAATTCTGGAACAAAACAAACAGATTTACAAGAATTAAATCATAGTCTCATAAAAAAAAAACGGCTCTCCATTGAAATTGGAGCGAAATGACGTATTCAATTTAGTTGATTTAATTTCGATAAGAATTGATATTTCTTGGAAGGGTTCTCGTTAACTAGACATATTCCGGTCAATGGCGGAAGTTAGGACAAGTGTAAATTTAAATTTTAAAATAACTCCGACTGACAAAGACCCTTCATAGCTAGGAATACTTTATAAAGTCACCTTTCAAATTAAAAAGCCAATCGAAATCTAAATAATACTATGGTATGTTGCCATACACACACACACACACGCACACACACACACACACCCCTCCTTTTTGAGTAGAGCAGTTATACTGTGAGAAAGGGACATGGTTCAATTTTTTTTATAGTAATTAAAGACGATAAAACTGAAACTCCGTGAAGGGTGATGAGAGAGAGATTTAATACTTGGCTAGCGGCATCAAACAGTGCCTAGTCTAGTACCGACCTGCAAAATAATAATTATCAACGGTCCTATTGTTAAACTTAGACTACTTTTTACCGGGCTAAGCGACTTACACGCAGGCGGAGTCTCAGGTAAAAGCTAGTATTACCATATTACATAAAGCAGGCTCGCGTGGCTGAACACCGGCATTGTTCATTTTCATGTGCTGTGTTTTTAAAACTAATGAATTTTAACTTACCGAAGTGTGCCATACGTTTGCCTACTTTGAATTTAAGATGATTTCTACGTACATTCAAATAACATTGTATTATGCGGTAGAGTGGACTTTGCGCGGCGGTGCGAGGGCTGGTGTTGGCGCGCGTCCTCCTCATTCATATTCACGCGCAGCGACACCGCTGACCCTGCACCTCTGTTGTTAACCTCACACAGTGTTATATTCTTTTGGTAACCATTGTAGATGGCTAACCAATAACTATGATTTCGGAAAGTTCTTTATATTGTGGAAAATTAAAAAAAAAGTTGAGGTAGGGGAGATAAAATAAAACGAGTTTAGTATGTTAAATGAACTATTGTGATTTGACAAGTAATTTTTTGAATGTGATAAGGCCTAACGAACAGAAGGGTCACCTGATGGGGTGTGATTAGTGAACTCAGGATCCACAAGTGCGTTGCTGCCCCTTCTTGTTGTTCAGATGAGTTCCTTCCTGAAACCACACTCACTCGGTAATAGGCAGAGAGAGAATTACATAACTTGGAGCTAAATAATTTGTTAAGACTTTCGGTGAAGCAGTGGTATCCAGCAGTCGAGCCGGCCAGTGTGTGATGAAGCATGGGGCTCTAAGGTTATAAATAAAAAAGATGTTTAATAAAAATATATTTTTAAATGTCTTTCTCTGGTCACGTGAACTGTACCTTTGTAATCTTTGGCATTTTTATTTCGTGTTTTGACTGAGGTCTGGAACCACTGACGGAAAACCCCCATTTTCTAATACAATTGATGGTGTGATTCTCAAATACGTCACTCAGCTAATTTGATTTGAAAATCTTAAAGTTTAAATTCAAACATTTTCGAAATGCCAAAAGTTCCAAAAATTTGGACCATCATATTTATACCTCAATATTTTCTAATCGGATCCAAGGCAAAATCACATTGTCAGTTGAGAGCCTTTATCGCATAAATAGCAATAGTGACAGAAGCAAAATGAGAAATTTAAATAATTGTCCTCTGTGTGTGTGTTTTTTTTTTTTTTATAAACTTGAATCACATTTGATTTACATTTTTTTACAATGTCTCTATTCGCCAAACTGTTCTAACAGTTTGTAGGCCAGTCTCACATGATACTCACACAAATGAATGTCGCTCAGCATTTTAGTGTAGCTGTCATGGGCTCTCCAAGTCATCAGACATAACCCTTAAACCCGTTACATCACAAATACAATTCAGCAAAATATAGCTGCTGTACAAACTGAACCACAAATAACCGTTACTGCAGTATTGGAACGTAGCAAATTATAATTTATTAAAATGTGTTTATTTCCTCTATCTGGGAAAGCTATTTGTCTGTCATAGGCAAAGAACATTTTTTTTTACCGTCAATATGCAGTGGACACAAGACCAATTGTTCTAAGCGCATACATCATAGATTTTGTCTTCCAAAGTGGGTTTACCATATTTTCTTCTAATAAATTATGAATACCAGCCCCATTTAAAGTCTGTCAATCCCAATGTTCATTCTAGTTGTAATTGGAGAGTTTAGGAGATTTTACCTGGATCCAGTGCGGATTGGCAGGCAGACGGGAATTCTTAAAGGTTTTGCCGTAGAATTTCCTGTGACCGACACAGCTAATATTCATTTTAAATATTGGAGATGCCTAGGTTCTAATTCATTCAGCTGGTGTAAGCGTAAGGTGTCAGTAGTGCTACCTTGAAGAGATATAATTTATGACTACATGCAGGGATATGAGAATTGCTCAAGTATGCTGCACAGAACCAAATTGGATCATCGCAATTGACAACTTAGAACTGTTACAATCAAAGCTTTCCTTGATGAGGTTCCTCAATCTAATGGGAAATTATCTGATGATGATCTGGTGTCATCCAAACTAAATTGTATGTGTATTTCGTTTGAGTATACACCGAAAGACGAAGGACGAACGAAGAGGACCACTGGGCTGCAGCCCAGTGGTCCTTCGCCCTTTATGTTTGTTGTTGCATAGTTCCCATCCTATATGTTCATCGATTACTGCTAAAGAAAGTATTTATTACGTTGTGTCCCTATTTTAACGCAAACACGATAACACAGCGAACTATAATTATAAAGCAAATAAGTCAAATGTAGGACATTGTAAATCGGAGGTCGAAGTTATATAAACCGGGGTTATCAAAACTTAGTGGAAAATATGACGCGAGAAGTTGCAACGGCTCTTGACACCTACTATAGCTAGAGATAATACGGCATCTACATGTAACGGCTGTCAGGGTGTATGTCGTTACGTCCGTTCAAGTTATTATTACCTGCTCTTCCAAAAAGGTGCCTCTATAAGAAACATACAAGTCCACTCCTACTGCAGCTGACTTCTTGAAAAGCGGTATCGAGACGACAACAGCGAAGTTGGAAGAATACCAAATATGAAGAGTGGTAATGGTGCAAGTGCCGAGGGTGGTGGTGGTGCGTATGGGGGTGGTGGTGGCCGGGTGCGGGCGCGCGGCAGGCGGTGTCGCGGGCGTGGGGCGTGCGGCCGTCGGCGCCGCCTCCGCCGCACCCAGCGCGGCGCGGCGCGGCGCGGAGGAGGCGAGCGCTCCGGCGCCGCGCTCCACGCCAGTTCGCGTCTAGCGCTGCCACCGCAAGCACGCGTGCGCCACCGCGCATCACCACTCGCGTCCCGCGCCTCGTGCGGGAGCTCGCCACGCACCGGCCCTGCTCATTCTGCCTGCTTCGATTGGAGTGGCGGTTCGCATCTTACCGGGCAGCATTAGAGTCGTATACCTATTTTCTAATACTGTCAGGTAAAGATGTCGTCCGCGCTCCACGTTCGACGGTCGACGATGGAGATTCTGGGCGATCGTTGAAACCGGTCCTGTGACGACGGATATGTTGACCGGCTCCCGGTTCGTGTTGGACGTCCGTCGCCTCGGCTTCAGGTAACCGGAGGCGATGAGCGTCGCGTGCGCCGCTCACGGCGCGGGCGACTTCGTTACGACCAGCGGGAAACTTCTCATCTCTGGATTTTATGGTAATCGTAAAGAGTGTTGCCGTGTCCGCTTACGAACTCGGCATCTTTTGAGTTGTCTCTATAACATTACGTCACACGTGTCGAGTGGACGCGAGCCCGTCACCGGTCGCAGGAGGTGTCGCTCGCGTCGGCGACGTGTCACCGGTCGCGGTGGCGCGCCGCCTGATAGTAGGTACCTAATGGCTGTTGGATTCCAACACATACATGCATACATAACGTCGACGCATGCTTCATTTAATTGTCAGAGGTAGAAAAGTAAGCGCTCGAGTCAGTGGAAAACTCGTGCGCACCTCGTCGGCGCTGATACCTTTAAATCCATTATCGGATAACGAATAATAATTGCTTCACTACTATTTATTGCCATTTTAAACTTCATATACTCGTAATAGCTTTAGGACGCATTCATCATTGTTTAATAATTATCCAAAAAAGTCTTGAACAGATAGTTACACGAACGCCATCTGTTTGGTAATGCAGCTAGTCTTGGGATGGCGAGGCACAGTTGGCTCGTAGGCAATGAGAAACTCGTAACAGCCTAGTTGTTCGGAGCAAGAAACGCTTCCCGAAGTCGATGTTATCTACATAATCCGCGCACTGTTGCGTTTCCTCGTCGTCGCTCACGTAACCCACTTAACTAATTAAAATTCCTCATGGCCGGCAATGAGCACGCGTTTTCAACTCATTAACTCGCCGCACGATATTCCCGACGCCCGCGTCGCTAGAGCTGCGCCGCCGCGCCGCTGTCGTCCCGCGCCCTCCTCGCGCCTCGTGCAATATGTGTCTCACGTCTGCTTGTATAAATGCACAACGTAATGTTGTTATCATGACAAGTACATCACTACCAAGTTTTACCCCATTGGGATGTACGCTGTTTAGTACTTAAATCGTTAGTGGTGTATTGCCACGTGAATGGTGATGGATGCATCGTGCAACTGTGTCCCCCTCACGATGGACCGACACCGAGTCGGCCAACGTCGCTCGCCATCTTGGTATTCAGCACCGAGATGTATAATTCACGTGCTGATTATTCTTCTGGGATGCGGTACATTATTCATTAGTGGGTGGAAAGTTTTGGCTTACCGAATATTAAGATGTAGGTCAAGGCCCGAGCCTTCACCGCAAGTTTAGATGCAACCTCCTTTTTGTGTATTTTAATTACTCTTTAAAGTTTCCATTGGACTGCCTTTCGTTGATAAAATATATATGTATAATAACGAATAAAACTTCGTAATTAGCTTCATTTTTTTAAGTTTAATAAGGGAGAGTATTAAGCAGTGATCGTTGCAGAGCAACAGCAATGGTGCAACGACATCTTTGGTAAAGCATATGTGAGGATGGGTGCGCAGCAGCACGCGGCGGACGCGTGCGGCGCTGGGCGCAGGCGCAGCGGGCGCGGTTGCCGATACTCCGCCACTCGATAACGCGACCGGTGAAAGCCGCAGTAAATTAATCGCTCAGGTGGATTCAGCTTTCGAAATGAATTTTTATCGGTATCGGAGTGTCGCCGCTCGGGACCGGTTCTTAATTTCTTATAGGTGTGCGCGTTGTGCATCTATTTCGGGAGTCGTTGACCGCGGGATTGGCACTACGGGCGGCCGGTTCCATTCTGTTCGTGTCGAGAGTCGTTCCGGGAGCGCCTCGCCCGCCGAACGCCGATTTCGTGTAAAACTCGGGCGTATTTCAGGCGATGACGTAACGCGCGGGAGTGCGTCGTCCCCAGGCGCCGCGAGGGACATGCCTAATCGAGCATAATGTTATTAATAAGCCGGGGACGGGGGCGACTCGCCCTCGCATAAAACAATGTTTATCGCCGATCGGCTGCATGCGATGCCACCACGACACTACCACATAAATATGATAGCAGCACGAGGAGTTCTCGTCGCCCAGCGCCGGGCTCGGTGCACGCAGCATTGTCGGGCTATTTATACTCACCACTTATAAATTGGGCGACCGCTGAGTTGGCACTGTCACCGTCGCCAATCCGTCACCAATACCACCCCATTCTATCTAGCTCACCATCATCAGGACCGTATACCCAGCAATAACTTCTCATTATACAAATATCCGTAAAGTAACAATGTGCTGACAAATGTATAAAATACGCTGACAACAGAGTCGGTTATCAATTTGTTCTAGAGCGCGCTATCGGTGGATAGTGATATGATAATTAGGGGCAAGCATTGCCCACTGACTTAAATAAGCCTAAGTAAACTGAGATAGCGCGTAGGCCCATCGAGGAATCACCTTTCGTTAGCTTTAATATGAAAGTGGTCCTGCGCCTTTGACACGCTAGATTGCAGCTCGCCGTCTCGTCCACGTGGTTCTGTGTCAAATGCGCGATAAAGTGTAAACAATTTGAATACGAAATAGTACGCTTTACGTTCGCGTTGTTGACGCTCAACGACTATATTGTTAATAATAATGTACAATAATCAGCTGTAATTTAGTTACGATATTAAATAGGTATGACTAAGATATCGCTGGCAGAGTGACTCCACTGACATTACGGGGTTATCGCTGTCAAATTAATGGAAGATATCTGTAAACATACTTATAAAGCAAATAATATAAGTAATATATGTATATGTCGAATCGAAGTAATGGCTACTAACAAAATACCTACTATTTTGTTTTTTTCCGCAATATCCAGCTATGAGGTTTTTAGTTACAGGTTTTTAATGTTAGGTTAGAATATTTTTTTCAATGAAATGGTGAATATCACTCCTGTCATTGCTGAAAACGAATACATAATTTATATAGGCATAAATGTATCTGATGTACCTACACTGAGTTGCTGTAATTGGCTCTAGATTGTGTTCGAAACAAAGGCTTTTTAGTCGCTGGCGGCGGTGGCTTGCTAATTACTATCTTGACTTTTTTTTAAGGGAAAGACAAAGTTCGCAATTCCATTTTTTTTTAATTTTGTGCCCAAATACAAGGTCACTGTGACCATGCCATACAAACAAAATGTTTATGAAATATTTCTTGTTTTGTAAATTAAGGCAGTAACAATATTGAAAGAAAACATAGATTGAACAGAAAATACTGAAATACAATAATTATTTTATTTTATGTCGGTTATGGCGGTAAAAAGCCTAGGTATGTTAATGTAGCTTAATAATGCCGCCGATAATGTAGCTTTCCATTGGTGAAATAATGTTTTAAATCGGTTTAATTTAGACTTGCAACGAATAGTATATTCGGCAGTATACCGAATACCGAATATTCGGCGAGGCCCCTGACCGAATAGCCGAATATTAGGCAAAAGTATTCGGCTGGATTTTAGCGCCAAAAACTTGTACAGACGTGAATTAAATTATGTACCTGTTTTATGTACCAATGACTACTTAATAAATGATTATAAAAGAAATGAGAACCTAACCCTTCTAAATTTTGATTATCACAATAATTCAAATACATAGAATCCTCCATTTTTCCAATTCAGAAGATGATTATGTACCTGTGTTATGCACCAATGACTACTTAAATGATTATAACAGAAATGAAAATATTAATATATACGTAATCAATCGATTTTAATTTTTCATTTTACCAATTATTTCTCAATGACAAAATATATTATTTAAGTATTCGGTATTCGGCCGAATAATATGTAGATATTCGGTATTCGGCCGAATATAATAAAAGCAGCCGAATAGGCCGAATACCGAATAGTAACCGAATATTCGTTGCAAGTCTAGTTTAATTGTTTAGGCCTGAAAGCGTACCAACCAAATGCACTTTATTAACACATTATGGATTTTAATTATTATTTATTACGGATTACTTCATTAGTTTTCCGTCACTCTTAAAATCTATTTTCATTTCTGTGAGTTTCATAAAAATCGTTTAAGTAGTTATGATTAGATATGATGTGAAGCGTGACAAACAAACCAATCTATGTAGGCATTGCTATGTTGTACCCATTCCTAAGCAAATGTTTCAGTTTAAGCTTTCTTCGTGATAAGACAACATAACAATTTAATGAAGAAAAAGGATATTTTTAACATTTTTTTTTTATTTTTTTTATTGCAATATGTGTCTAGTGACTATATTTGTCAGATGTTTCGTGAACTCTCACACGTACACAAAAAGGGGACGCTACCATGGCTTCCAAATAGCACTTTCAAATTAAACACGATATCAGCATAAAGCAATGGTCGCAAGAGATGTTGCTTTTGGGCGCTAATTAGCATTCAAATGTGTACTGGACTGGTATCAATACCAAACAGGTTTACTTCACAGACCAGTCTCGTTTAGTCGATAACCTCGACACTATGGCACGCACTGTGTGTCTACGTACGTATGTTAATAACACATTCTATTAGATGGGGAATTGAATATAGAAGGGTGACCTGGCTTTGAGTGAATACCCGCACTAGTACAAAGTATAAATCAAGAATGGGTTTTTATTTTGGTGCCTTCTTTTAACATTGTTTTTTTTTTCATTTTAAACTCATATGGACTTCTAGACACACCTGCGCATGTCGCCCCGAAGGGGTAGACACATTAATATTTGGACAAATATAATTTTAGTATAACGTGGACCACACACGTGATAGAAGGACAAGCCCATTGTCGGCAACGGTGGCACTTTCATAATTAAAAAGAAAATTTTGAGATTGCATTGAAACACAGAGGCAGTCAGTTAAAGGAATGATCAGGAGTAATCAGGACAACGTCTGTCCCATATCTGTACTGGTTATTTCTAAAAAAATTGAGCATTTGTCCCTACTACATTTGAGCAAATAATTATATTAAAATTGCTTTAGACAAAACGACTAAAGCAATTTTTTAGTTCTTAGGCATCAAAAATTGAAGCGAGCGTTGAAATCTTTAACAGCATCCCTCTGTACGAGACAGGGTGGGGTCGAGTCAACCGCGCACCTCCGCATGTAAAAGACATCAACGCCCGTCCGGCGCGCGACAGCCTTACGTATAAGTGTTTAACGTACACGTAATTGTAATCTATTGCACAGCGCCGCGGGGCATGCGAACCTCCGCCGCACATTTAATAAATAGCGCCCAACAATGAGCTCTCTAATTGAAGCGTCAGCTATGAAATAGCGATAATCGCGGTCATGAGATGAGAACGGACCACGCAACCTATTATTATGTAAATAAATTGTTTGTTTGCAACATTAATTTTATTATGGATTATTCGGTCTTTGGCGGCGCTTTACGTGACGTTGGGCCGGCGCAGGCGCAGGCGCCAAGTTCCTCGCCGCGTGTCTGTTGGTGTCGAGTCGAACCGCCGATGTTGAACTGTGTTTGATCAGCTGCAGTCGAAGGCTACCGTATGTGACGTCATACACGTGTGTTCCACACTCTTACAGGCATTCTGTCGAACCGATTTATTATGCTATATAATTATTTACGTTGAAGTTATGCTAGTCCGTTCGTATGAAGATTGTATTTTAAAGCACAATTAAGTGCAGACTTCGCCGAGCGGGAACTGCCTGAATGTTTATATTATATTAATTATCATTAGAGCGGGTATTAATTAGCGTCGGTTTAATACTGTTTAATTACAGTTCTGTACATGTTGGAGTGAAGCTTCATAGAAAAGACTGACCATTTAGTTTTTATTACTATCTGGTTTGTAACGGTTTTTTCCCTATTTTAGAAGAAAGTATTTAGATACTTGTATTATGTGAATTTTTAACTGAGCAATGATCGTCACTTTAATACAGGGATTGCCCAAACTATTTCGGCAAGAGACCTCTTTTCTAAAACGAAATGATGCTTCAGACCTCCCCCTCTAAAATTACTGCACGTTTATCGACTTGTTTTTGAAAGTACAACAATGATAATTCCTACTAAATATTAGTCATTCTTATAATAAATTGAAACACGTTACAACTAATACAGTCTCTTGAAAGTCTCAAATAAGATCTATGTTAATTAATCGGGGTCGATTTTTAAACATCGTCGACCCACAAAATCAGTTTTTTTTTCGTTTATGTCGATATCGATCACTTTACGAAATCCTTGCTTTAATAGAATAGCTGGTGAATGTCCTTTCATAACATTATATCCTTCAGAGGTTTGGGGTAATTATAACGGATTAATAATAAATATATAAGACAACCTATCTCAAAATTACTATTTCACAGTCGGCACACTGCAGCACTGGTCTAGCGGGCGAAATTGAAACGTGGACAAGCCTTATTAGAACATATTATATTAACTCGCTGGTCCGCATGTGGTAAAAAGATCTATCGAAATAAGTTTGTGTAAAACCCTCCATACAGACAGCACCAAGCACCAACCAAGAGTTTTCAATTTATATGTTAGAGGCGGCTGACTAGCCGATGGGTCAAATGATGAAAGGCGACCATCGTCGCCCATGAACGTCTGCTTTTAGGAAGGAGTTCGCTCTTTTCTTGAAGGTTTGAAGATTGATTTGGTTCATTCATGGTTTCGTTCGTTACTGTCGAATTCATAATTCAGATTTCGAATCATATTTATCGAATTTACTATGTGCAGCTTGTACGATTATCTATCTTCTTCTAAAAAAGCAACTCCTGCACTAGGAATATATATCCTGTGTCACGGAGGACTTTACAAACATACGTGGAACGGACACTGAGAACACCCAGACTCAGAACAACAATTTGTGGATTACACAAAGTTATGTTCCATGTGGGGATCGAAACCACAATAATTAGAGCAGTAGAAAGTGGCGTGGCAACCGCTCAAGCCACTGCGCAACCCGTGCAGTTGAGTTTTTTTTCCATAATATACATGTGTAGTTCCCGGCTCTGCTGGACGTCGCGCGTCGTCCGCTGACGGCGGATCATTATAGCGAACTATTAATAACCGCCATTGTTGTTGTTGTGTGCGTTTGCGTCTGTTTATTTACGCTTGTGTGCGTGTGCGACATACTATAAATACGACTGTTGTCTCAGCACTGTTTCGTCTCAGTATTCCGATTCTCTTGTAAACCCACGTGCTTCAGCTGACACCCGAAACAAAAATAATAGTTGGCTGCGTACGAATGAAATAAAGTCTTTCAGGAAAAGCAAGTGTCTTCACGTAGCGAGGTCGTGCAATAAGTTCAAGGCGCACGCCACGCCGCGTTCCGTTCCCCACTGCGTCATATAAGTGAGCTTCTATAGGCAACTCTATCGAAGCAATGCTGTTAAGCTTTACAGCTAACGTCATTCCACAAAATATATGGGAGAACCTCTTATCGAACATAACCATTGTAAATAATTGATTTAAAAACAAAGCGCACTGAATCATAAAGCTAGGTTGCGCTCCAAAAAAAAATACGATATAAAAATAATATTTTATTGATCTGAGATATCGCATCGATATTCGTAAACTGACGATTATTCTTACTTTTAGTGAGTGTTGAGCACTGTTTTTAATGACTGGTATAATGATCATGTTCCTTTAATAATAGATGAGACATACTCACGTTTGACAAAAGAAAAAAATATATAGAAAAGTTACTACACAAAATGGAACAAATGCTAATTCTCCGCTCTGACTTGCGTCCGGTACATGGGATCTGCTGCTTCTCTGAAAATATAAAATGCCATTGTACATCTGTATATTTGTAGACTACCGTCATTTATACTCTTGCGAGATTACATGAGTTTACGACAATCATAACTTTGAGACTAAGGTTCTTAAAGTCTGTGCTTACAATAACTTGGCGCGACCACGGCGCGGAATGTTTAGACATTCAGTAAACTGGCCTCCTCATAAACATTGTTGGAAAAAAGTGATAGTTTTTTATGAAATGTTAATTGTGTTTGCTTTCCAAATAATGGTATTTCTTTTTTTATGGAAGAGGGGGCAAACCAGTAGACGGGTCACTTGATGGAAAGTGTTTCTAAACAATTCGACTCTTACTAACATGTCGTCTAAGAATGAGGTAGGCTTTGATAATGATTAAAATTATCGGGATGGCTTCCGAATAGAGTTTCCTGAGGTTTCCATATCGATTTCGTGGTATTTTCATGGGCGGGGCAAGCTAACCATCAAATTGTTTCTGGTAGTAGGTACTGCGCCTCCTGTCCCGCGGAGAGTTGGACCGCGCGCATTATGTGTACACCTTGCGCAGACAGCCGCGCAAGCAGATAAAACTTTATTTATGGTTAGTTAGCCGCGTGTATAAAATGATGTTTTTAAAATACAGTTCCACAGTAACGGTCACTCTCGCACACGAGGAGATTCATAACGGACGACGGAGGCTTTCGACGTGTGGAGGACGGGAGGGGAGGCGAGTGGACGAGCCGGTAGTGTGCGGGGCGCAGGGCGCGGGACTGCAAAGGTCAGCCGGCGTGCACCTGCGCCTCGTATTGCTTATCCATTTATCACAATCGTTGTACCACATTGCCTATATTCCATAGGGAGGCTCTGAGCCGCCGTGAGTAGCAACTTTCGTACTTGCGAGACTGTGTTGAGCAGATCAATACATGCAACAGCAGTCATCGGCGTGTTTACAAACTCATGGTTTGCGGCTAGTTAGCACATTAGCTGCGGTCAAGCGCTCGGCAGTGGCTCGTCTGAGAGCGCGCGGAGAGCGGTAGTGATACCGAAACAGGTGAGTGTGACGCTCGCCTCTTCTTATGTCGATGGATGCCTCATTAATTTTGTAACGAGCACATACTTTAGTTTTATACATATATTAATCGTTTAATTACTTCCTTAGAGTAGCGACCAAATGAATACAAAAAAAGAATGTTATAGAGCTCAGTAGGTACTTGGCTCCTTTTAGTCACCCATGGCTCGCTCATAAACGAACTGGTACTCGTAGTCAACACTAAATGACTACCTTAGTATATTAACACTCTCATTTAGTTGGTATCTGAGTGATTATGCCTACCTACTGATTATAGTGTGTTCTGTTCCAACGTATGTAGTGTTTTGCAAGTAACTGAACTCTTAAAAACTCTCACATTTTTAAAACTTGTACACATTTAGTAAATTCCTGTTCTTCCAAATCTTCCCTCGTTTCTTCGGCTCTATGGGAGTTTAATGAGTGTCCCCAATGTTAATGTTACACTCTCAAGATCTTTGCCTAAATTTTCAAAAAAATGCCTTATTGCTACGCAATATCCCTTGTGTTACAAGACTTTTTGTCTACCAACCTTACATATTATAAACCTTACATGCGAACGGTTTCCTGCTGTCAAAATGACCACATATCAGAGAGGCGATTAGATAACCCAATAGTAGTATAACTCATGTGTGCATGCATTGTTGTTGTTGGGTTATTGGAACCCGGTGAGTGTGGGATAGCGAGGACAACGCAGTGGAGGCAGTGGAAGCGCGCGGGCGCGGGCACACCACGCGCTCGTATCGGCCGCTCGTCGTCTTATCTCCCGCTCACAATCGCCTCATTATCATCGAAATTGCTCAGTTTTAGGATACTGCGTTCCGATAATGTTCGATAAAGAATTCCACAGCAAAACAACGCTGCCTCTTAACCCATTTAATTAGTCACGTACACGCATGGCCGTACGACCTTCACTCCTCACTATGTAAGATCATCAAATTTGCTTTAAAATTGTCGAGAGTTAATACCGTTTATATTGTGGTATAATGTCGATTATGTCGGTGACGAGCACAACCACATTGATATGAGGCATGCAGTGATAAACACACTGGAGACATCTGTGAACAGAACACAATGAACAGCTATTTGGGGAGTACGTGTGGAATGTTATCAAAAATTAGCATTGCGGTAAGTAGTTGTGCGCGCGCTTGTGTGTGTGTGTGTGTGTGTGGACAGAGCGGGCACGCGGGGTGGCGGTGCGTGTGCGGGGGTAAGCGGCGGACACACATGACGACAGTGCACACGGGCTCATGTCCATTTGGTGGATGGGCGGTCGGCGACCCCGCGGCCGTGGGCGCCCGCGATAAACTTTATATATTCATAGGCGGCAGGCTCGCCGAGCGAGCGAGCCCCGCGCCCGACGGCCGGCTGGTTATGTCCGGTACCGTTACTTTTCTTGCTTTCAGATCTCGTTCGGTGCTTAATTCTTGTTTTAAAACAGGCTGCAGTGCGCTGGAAGCCGGCGCCGCCGCCGCTAATGAACGTGCGCCGCATTAACATGCGCCACCAGGCGCTCCGCACACCGCGCACCACGCACCCGACCGACACGCATCCACTGCGCCTGCTCAGTGCTCGCTGCCCACCTGCACATAGCTGCTCTTTAGTTTCGGGACACTGTCCTTACACATTTATTTACAATTTATACCGTACTTAACAAGGTTACAAAATAGTCCCCAATGTACCTACTTATTACAATGTATCGTCAGCAGATGCGTTAGTGTACAATTACAAGTTCTTAGCAACTAATCGCGTGAAAGTTGAGAATGACTTACTGTCAGCACATCAATGTATTAACACATGTGTGTCTTGCGACAAAATGTTTACTTTGGCGGCTTATAGCCTGAATCAAATCTGCGGTTAGTGTGAAATTATTGACACAATTACACGGCGATAGACAAGGGCGATGGAACCAGAACCAATCGCTTAAGGGCTCTTTCATCAAAGATCATTCAAGTGTACTCGCACTTGAATAATCGCACGATTTAATTTAAGTGCATCTACAACAGTGGCTTGTTAAGCTTCGCGCCTAATGATAACGCTACATTGCCGAGTCGTTGGGGAGGGTTGAGTCGCCGCGGATTCGTGGCGTCACGTCAAAAGACTTGTTTGACTGAATACTTGCCTGGATACATATGCAAACTAAACTCTGATATACTCACATTTTACTAGAAGGAAGTAATTTCGCATTTATAAAATTAGAGGTACTTACTGGTTGTGAGCAAACAACTTGTATGTAGGATTGTAGAAACATAGATGTTCTACACATATTCCCCCTGTATCGATACACATGTGCCATTAATTTATTTTATTTATTTATTAAATATGTTTTTACATCACATAAAAAATGATTATTTTTGTGATATAAAAACAAATGATCGACTTTCTAAGTTTTTTGTTTATTTATGCCCCTGTTTCCGGCTCAATTTCACTTTTCTAGCTGTAGAATGTTAAGTAACGTATCAGTTTTGATTTACCTTCTTACTTTATGTAATAGAAAATGTGCAAATGGCGATATCTTCTGATTGAGTTTACCTACACGTTTAATGTTACAGCTTCAAAGAGGCGCAGAAATCAGTGTTTGGCATTAACTTCAAATTGATACCTTACTCACTTTAGTGTAAAAAGGTATCGAAAGACAGACGGACAGACAGACGCAAGTACATTCGAATGTTCTATTGAGTGAAGGCTATTGAGTGGAGAAAGCTACCAGGTGTTACAAGTAAAGCACACCTGGAGCTGTAATCTCAGTAGATATTTCGTTTTAACTGGACCGGTGGTGCTCGTCCGAACCGCTGCTTTAATTAAATAACGCCATAAATACATATCCATATGCCTTATCGTAATTATCATCAATATCAACAACGAATACATGTGTTATATTACTTCTTACTTTAGTGATCGAGTGACGCATCGTGGTTGTCTACTATGAGATATTTTCGCTACGATATCAAAGTCGTCAGCAGGTCAAAGTTCACCTCTGCAATTCATCACGAAATGTCGTTGCTCACAGCTTAGTCACAAGCAACAACCTTTGTCCCATTCATCATCACGTTACACGTTCCAGTTGCCTGTCAAAGGCAACTTTGGCAGTGACCTAAGCCTTGCACGGCTTTTTCTCAATTCCAAAGTTCATTACGGCCTTTTGTTATGTACTATTCGTTTAATTAATACTCTCCGAAACAAAAAATATGTTTTTTGTTCAAGTTAAGTATTTGGTTGATTTATTTCAAAAATTGACTTTTGAAAATACGAAACCAAACACACACATATCGACCTACACCGACATACACTTCAATTTGTTTGTATGCTGATGTGTGTTCTATTACGTCTCTGTGTACTCCTTCGGGCTAAAGACGAGAGTGTACGTATGTTTGTATGGCTACCGTCTGTGATGTGCCACATGAGGACACAGTCCCCTTGACTCACTCTTCAGCCAGAAGTTGTGGGTTCGATTCCCACTCAGGACAAATCATTCTGTAATGAGCACGATCATTTAAGTTTGTTATGTGTCTAAGTGTAGTTTATCTATAATATTTATGTATTTAGATAAATATGTGTTTATCAGCAGCCTAGTTGCCCTACCACAGGTTCTGCCTGGTTTGGTATCAGACGGCAGTGGGTGAGATGTGTGACGCTATTATTGTTAACACAAGCTATGATATGTAAGTTTGCAATCAATAGATCTAAGAATATTCACATAACAATTGGTATCAGTTAGTTGTTTTGTTGTCATGCGAGGAGGTGCGGTGCGACAGCGGTCTACAGGAACTACGTAGAGGCTATATGAGCGACGCCCGCGGCGGGCGCAGCTGACGGCGCAAAGTTGCCTCGCTTGTGTGTATCTCAGTAGCTGCCATGTCATCGCCACTTACATTGCGATATAAACAATCCTTGAGCTTTAAATGATGGTAAAGTTATTCGTTATGTGATGTATTTTTTCCCCGAAAGTATCCTTTAAAGAATATTATCCTAAAGCATAAGGTCAGGTCCATGCACTTGCTGTTCATTGTTCAGTCGCAGTACTTTATTGGGTACAATGAAACCCTTAAAAATACAATCCTTAATAAATACACCATAGCTTTTGATCCCCTTTACATTTTTTTTAAGTGATTTTCCAGGAATATCCACTTCCTGATCATATTTATTCAATTTATGATCAACCATATGATCCCAACCGTGGTCTACCCATATCCTTCTCATTATACTCCCTTTTTAAGGAACTTCACACGTAAGAAAAAAATTGATTCAATCGAATACATCACGTCGAAAAACATACATTCAATATCAATTTTTAAGAAGATAGAACACTACAATTACATTTTACTAAGATTTTTTTAGAATCTTTATTATCTGGATTATAGAAAATATCATCAGTCAAAATATACTTAGTTGAGTTTAAAGCTAGTGACAGTGAAATACAGAGAACAGTACTTGTCTTGTTACTATTCAATATACGTTGGGTCGTATAGAGTCAATAAACATGAAACCAAACGATGTCTAAGAGCTAGAGTGACGCGTGATCATCGTGTACATGTAGAGTTGTAGAAAGACGCACACACCAGTCATTAATTATTATTCACATCCATTCTAAATAGCATTTGTTTCAGAGCCATTGCGATGTCTCCGATCAATATCATTTGAAGGGCATTGTTTTTCTATTATAAGAGGAAATAAGGAATGTTTTCTTTCAACATGATAACGAAAAGTTCTCAAATAGTGAGCACACTTGATATTAAACATTTGATGTCTGACAGACTGCGACGTGCTAGGGAAGGTGGTGCGAATATGACCATTCCCTCCCACACGCGCACCACTCTGACTCCTGTACACCAAGATCAACAGTAGTGACCCACGAACACGACGAGTTATGATACTCGGGAAGCCCCACGAGAAATTAAACTGTTTTGGAACCGGTAACGAAATTAATCAAAAGAAAATTGGAAGAGTTGGAAATATAATAAATCTTCTTCTCTACTTAGCAAAGCAACAAACAAAATTAAGTAAAAATAGGCATACACCCTATTAAACAGGAAAGCATCACAAAATATTTATTAATATTTGATTTCTATATGTATGGCTTAATTTCCCAAACGCACGGCAATTCACACTATTTGACAAAAGATCCTCATAGGATATCACCCCAGATTCAAAAAATCTAAATTCTTTTATTATAGTTATAAGCCTTAAACAAACGACACTTAGGGAGTACTACAACCCATTACATGCATGTCTAAAGCTAAATTTGCTTCTATTTAATACATTTTAGGCAATTTTTAGGAATATATCCGTACCTTCTGGACTAGTCGAGACTATGACTCAGAAGGTTCATGTGTGCTAATAATATCCTAAATTATAAAGAGTAAAATATGTGGAGATGGTATGTTAGTTTAATTCACATGTTAGTTAGGATACAACTAGAAGTACTCAGAAAGGATTCATCAGGTTTCCTTATAGTTTAGGGTTTTTAGGAAGCTACAAATGACCTTTTTACAGTATATTTTGGTAAATTTAGGTAGAATTTATTTATCCTAGCGAGGTAGAATTATCCTAGCGAGTTTATTATATAGTAACGGGCCGAGAAATCCGGTAAATCTTCGTGTAAAAATAGTTCTGCATAACATGGTTGTATATACCCTGTCTTTGCGCCGCTTACTGCCAAGAGATGACATAGAGTATGCGTGATTGTGTTGGTCTAGGGCCGTAGGTAAGATGATTACCTATTAACTATTCAGCATTATATTACGTTGATTGTACCAAAAACTTAATTCCCAGAGGATATGATGAGAAGACTGTTCACAGTTAGACACCACTGACGCAATGGTGTCCCCACTAATTTAAATAAATGCAGTATGCTCTTAAAGTTACCATGACCTGTAAGAAATTGAGTGACATAGTGATCCATCTCAAGGCATGTCCTCGACAACCGCTCGCGAACAAATGGAAAGCGCTGGTAAAGGTGGCGCCCCTTAGAAGATTCGTCCCAGCGTTGTTGCCATTCGTCTATGAGGTCATTATAGACATCAGACTGCTGTTGAAGCAATCTTGTGATTTTCACAAAAAAATGATTTCTAGTGTGGAATAAATAAAGGTGGTGAGAAGTGAGTAAAATGCTCTTTGTTGTGTTTTTACGTTTATACATATTAAATATTCACATGTAATACATAGGAATGCATTCGACTTAATTCGAAGCTCCGTAAAAGCTGGAGAGTAAGGATCACGTATGCTTTTGTATGTTAGTTTTGCGTTAGGATAAAATGTGATTTAGAACTTGTAACTTTAATGAATTAACAGAGTTTAATCTTGTCTCTCTGTCTCTTGAAAATATTTTAAACTGTTTCATAGGAATATATTGTGTCGTGGAATTAGTTCCATGAGATTTAACAAAAATAACTTTTTTAAAATACAGGACAATAAAACATTCATTTGCATGTCATTATTGACTAGAAAATTTAAGGCCAACACAAAGTCTGTGCTCCACAAAAAATATGTTAATGATT